CTGGGTAAACTATGCTGGTAAAATGGCAAGAAAACAGCTGTTTAAAAAGAGCAAAGCAATTGCTCTCATCTGAAGTATTCATGAGACCTCGGTGAACCAGAAAACTAAGCATGTTGGGGGCCCTTTTGTGTAGTTGTGTGATTGTACAAGAGTGTTTAAATCTCTTGAAAAAGGAAAGTAGAGTTTAAAAATGAACACCAGTGGTACATTCCCCTTAAAGCACATTCATAGTCTGTTGCATGGACTCTGGACATTTTGCCAGATGGTTGTTTTAGCATACAGGACAGCAGAACGCAGAAAAGTCTTTACCTATTCATGCTTGAACTCTCATAAATATCCTAACAGAATTACTTATATAAATACCTACAAATTTATTAAATGGCATAAATGGCATTGCCTTTAAAGACTGCCGAAAAGGCCAGTGAAATTGTGAAGCAGTTTGGAAAGTTGAACATTTTAAGTGTAAGCACCGAAAAAGAGTCAAGACCAAATACTTCTCTTTCATTCAGGTTTTGGTTTAGTTCTTTTTTTGTGTCTAGATATGGAACCTGTACTGAAAGGAGTGAGGGCTTTTAAATACTGAAGCACTTATCAAGCACAATTGTCGAAACTGTAAAATGAATAATTTCAGTTCCAGCCCTTCTGATGCTGCCCACCATACACGCAATCGGAAAACAAATATCCCAAACAAGGAGTTAGTAAACATATCCGATAGCTTCTGTCTCAGCTCAATGTAAAGCAGTCAAATGAAAAGAGACCAATAGGTTCTTCTTATCCAAAGGCTCCTAGTTAAAGCCCTGTGATATAGTGTATGTATTGTCTCTAACAGCTTTATTTAAACCATTATTTTTGGGATGGGCAAAGGAATGCAGTAATATTTAGTAAAGGTAATAAATAAATGAGCATAAAACGTTCGGAATGATGAGTAGCTATTAAGACTCAGATGATGGGAGAAGAAATATCAACAGGATAAATAACCAAACAGTTCTTGGCACCAGAGTGTCATGCTGTTCATGCTGATTTATAACACTCGTGTTCCTGAAATCAAAATGACAGGTGGCTAACCAAACTAGAGCAATAATTCCATGGTGTGCCCTGTCACAACGTTACAATGGGACGAGCTGTGCCCTGTCTATTATAATGCACCGCAGTACTCTTTACTCCCTTGTGTTTTTCAAAGATTGGTTCAGCATGAGTGAATGCTCAGGGAAAAAGTTATAATAATAAGAAGAAACTTTATTTTATATAGCGCCTTTAAGGGTGGCTTCTCAAAGCGCTTTACAGGATGACAACCATAAATAAGAAGAATACACAAGATAAAACACAATTACAATATATAGAGGAGACCGTGGATGGTGGTACTAGGAAAAGCAGAGGGGTGAAGAATAGAACCAGTTAAGTAAAGGTTCTTCTAAAGAAGAAGGTTTTGAGTCTGGATTTGAAGAAGTTTAGAGAAGGTGACTCTCTGATATCCTCGGGGAGAGAGTTCCAGAGCTTCCAGAGCAAAGATTTCCTTCCTGCCCGTTCCGCTCTGCAAAAACCGAATGCCTGGCCCCCTGTGCGTCATGGGACCTTTAATACCCCATAGGTCTAAACTTTGCCCCCACTTTTGTTTTTTTTTTGTACTTTCAAAATTGCCAATTGTTGTGAAGTAATGGCTACCGCTGTCAGTAATCCATTATGAAACCAAATTCTAATTTTCTCCGATCGCCTGGCCTGGAGGCTCTTGCTACTTTTCCGAAGAAAACAAAGCAGCGAAAGAAAAGAAAAAAAATCTCGATAACATCGCGCCTTCGAGCGACAGGCAGGAGTTCAACAGTGCGGCTCAAATGCCCTCAGATAGAAAGGAGGATGGTTCCAACTTGCTCTGCTGATTGTTCCAGTTTCACTGGTTTCAGCAAAACTGAAATGACCCCCCACCTGGGGTGCAAATTTAACTTTGATGAATGCAATGTGAGGCGGCACAGTGCTGCAGGGGTCAGCATTGCTTCCTTGCAGCGCTGGGGGCCCCGGGTTCAATTCCAGACCTGAAGTGCTGTCTGTGTGGAGTCTGCATGTTCTTCCCTAGTTCGTGTGGGTTTCCTCAGGGCGCTCCGGTTCCCTCCCACAGTCCAAAGACATGCTGAGAGGTTAAATGGCTTCTGGGAAAATTAGCCCAGGTGTGAGTGTGTGTGTCTGCCCTGTGATGGACTGGCAGCCTGTCCAAAGTCTATCCCTGCCTTGTGCCCGTTGCTTGCTGGGATAGGCTCTGGCTCCCCAGTGACCCTGTACTGGATTAAGTGGCTAGAAAATAGATGGACGGTGATCTCTAAAAATGCAGAATTTGTCTCTCTGAGTTGTATGTTCAGACGGATATAGGGCAGTAACTCCATTCAAACTGGAAGCAATTTGTTTCGTGAGTTTTAGTCCAACAAGGTAGACATTTTGTTTGTGTGGCAATTGTTTTTGTTTTTCTATTAGTGGATTTTATTATTATGAGAGATTATATCCGATGGTTCAATCTAACGGTGGGTGTGATGATTGCATACTAGCATGTTTTGTGTTAGAGCTCTATTTGAAGGGATAAATAATGATAAATGATGGCGTTTATTGAATCCAATATGTAAACTGTGCTTTGTTCAAACGGACATTGTGTGAAACCTCTTTCTTCAACTTGTCCTTTAACTGTCCCCTTGCGTCCATTGTGTAGATAAGAGAAGCCCAAGAAAAACTGTTTGACTGACCTTTTCTATTTTTAGTTCATCTTAATTCATTAAGTGAGGAATCCCTGCTGAACTTGTCTGAAACCAGTCTGAGGTTGATTTTAAAATGTCACTGTTCTGTGTTTATGCTAGCCTATCTTAATCAACATCTCAACACTGGAGTATTGTACTGTATATTTGCACGTCTTGACTGATCAGGTTGTTCTGCCATATTTTGACTGCATACACCTTGGGGCCATGAAAGTCCAGAATAACAACTACTCATTGTTTCTACTATGAGTTTAAGAAGGCAGTGAACCGCCTGCAGGCTCTGTCAGGACATTTTTTTTACAGAAGAAACAGTTTAAATTTGTTTTTATGAGGAGCACCAAGAAAAATAAAATTGGGAAAATCAAGCAGCCCCAAACTATAAGATACTGTACCTATTTAAAATCTGATTATTTACCCCAGTGATGGAAGACCCAATTACCCAGATGAACATTTAGAATATTTAGTTAGAATATTTCTGTTAGTGTTTTTTGCCACTTGGTTTTGCAAAAAAGCAAGCAGAACACCTGTTGTTTTCTGTGCTAGTACTGAGAAGATGACTTTGTTAATAAAGACAGATTTGAAAATCTGATTGTTCACCCTTCCATGTTCTAATTGAATCCTATCCGGGGTGGCAGAGGAATAACAGGCATAAGGCAGGGTACACCCTGGATGGGACGCCAGTCCATCACAGCACACACACACACAAACTCACACCAGGGCCAATTTTCTCAGAAGACGATTAACCTACCAGTAGGTTTTTGGACTGCGGGGGAGAAACTGGAGCACCTGGAGAAAACCCACGCAAACATGGGGAGAACATGCAAACTCCACACAGACAGACCCTGCAGGTCTGGAATTGAACCCAGTGCCACAAACCTGCGAAGTAGCAATGCTAAACACTGTTTTTATGGTGCTGCCAGAAAATCTGATTATTTTCACAGTCAGACTTGACCGCTTGGTACATACCAAGTTTTCCCATAACCTTTTGTTAAGAAATTTGCAAAATTTGTTTGCATAAAGCACGAATAGTATCATAGGTTTCCTCTGACCTGTTCAGCAACTCTACGGTGCTGAGAAGTTTATTTTTCTTATTATTCTTGTGGGTATCCATAAGTAATGAATTGGCCCAAGGATCGTATCCAGACATTTCATGAAAAAACCTCAGGACGTAGTTCAATAACATGGCTGGGGTAGCGTGTTCCACACTCCCACCTCTCTTGTGGTAAAGAAACGCAACCTTTGCTCAGTTTTAAATGCACTTCCACAAAGTTTCCACATGAGTCCTCTGGCTTGTGTGTCACTATTCATTCTGCCGGGCTTGCCAAGCTCTTTGAGAACTTTGGATACTCCCCTTCCCTCAGAAGGTCTCAGTTCTTTCAGCAATATCTTCAGGATTTTAGCAAAAGCAATTTGCATAATATCTGAAATGCATCTGTTTTGCTCTTTTCTGGAGTGATTACAGAGCAATAATCTCTTTTCCCTAATGTGGTGACTAGAATTGTACAACGTATTCTAAATGAGGCCTTACTAGTTTAATACACCAGTTATATGATCTGTATACACCTGGTAATACCATTGTACCACCCTGGCTGTCTCACTGTGTGTAAGAAATTGCTTATAATCATTGGATGCATCCGAGCACTGGGTGTCACCAGTGAGTGCTGCTCTTAAGCCTTAGACACTGAAGAGGTAACCAACATTGGCTGCGTTCTTTTTCATTCTCATCCGGAGAAAGGCCCGTTGCCCAGGGCAACTCCGGTTTGAGCCCGTTGTTCCGTTGTTGTGTTCCCTGCAGCCATCCGGTTTGGGAGGATGCCGCAGTCCGAGAAGATGAAGCTCAAGGCGGAGATTCTGACGGGGGAACGGGAGACGGAGAACGCCCAGCTAGCCGACCAGAAGACCCTCGCCAAGCAGATCTACGAGGCCTACCTGAAGAACTTCAACATGAACAAGTCGAAGGCGAGAGTCATTCTGACTGGCAAGGCCAGTACGCCGGTAAGAGGCCGCAGCAGTAGTTTTGAAATTGTATTATGAGCCAGGAGCCATATCACCCTGCAGCTCACCACTGGCAGCCCCGCTGGAGCACAGCAGGTGTGAGCCTGGCCAGTACCTGGATGGGAGAAAAGGTATAAGAGGGGCCAGCAGGGGGTGCTCACCCTGCAGTCCATGTGGGTCCTAATGCCCCAGTATAGTGACAGGGACACTATACTGTAAAAAGGCGTCATCCTTCGGATGAGACGTAAAACCGAGGTCCTGACTTTCTGTGGTCATTAAAAATAATAAATAATTGCTTACACTTATACTGAGTGGACACTCTACTCAAAGCAATTTACAGGTAATGGGGAATCCCACTACCGCCACCAATTTTCAGCCCCACCTGGATGATACAAGGGCAGCCATAGTGGGACTCACCAAACACCAGCTCCCTGCTGTGGGGCATTAGGACCCACAAAGACCGCAGGGTGAGAGCCCCCTACTGGCCCCACTAAACCTCTTCAGGCAGAAACTTTAGTTCTTCCCAAGTGGTCTCCGATCCAGGTACTGACCAGGCTCACACCTGCTGAGCTTCAGTGGGGCTGCCAGCTGTGAATTACAGGGTGACAAGGCTGCTGGCTATATCAGAAAGTGAGCTGTTGCTTTTGGCTTACAAACATCTATCTCTAAACTCTATCTCAGATAGCAGTTGTTCTTAAAACATAAGCTACCGTGAAAGGAGTAACAAAAGAACTAAATTATATAATGTATATCATAGAACCATGTAGATACTCAAATCACAAAAAAATCAGGTCAAAGATGCTAATCTGAAAAATTAATTTCGGATCTTGTTCTAACATACTAGGTGAATGTGCTTTCTGTTTCAACCTTCTTGGTTCTGTGCATCATTCTGACAGCCAGAAGGATAGATTCCAATACCGCAATGTCGGTGCTTTATATGATCGTGTGGCATTTGCTTGTCTTGATGATACCATAAAACTTGGCTTCCCCAGGATGGAAAGGAAGAACCACATCAACCTCTCCACCAAATGCAACTGAGAAACTTTTAGCAGTGTCATAGTAAAGTTAATTTTAAGCATACAGACATTAAAGACTATGCAACTCTCTGCAACAGCCAGTATTAATAGAAACTGAGTGTATTGCGTAAGTCTTTTAATGGGGTAGTTAGCCCAATATTTAGCCAGCAGCCATATCACTCTGCAACTCACAACTGGCAACCCACTGAAGCACAGCAGGTGTGAGCCTGGTCAGTACCTGGAGGGGAGACTCCTGGGAAAAACTATGTTGCTGCTGGAAGAGGTGTTAGTGGGGCCAGCAGGGAGTGCTCACCCTGTGGTCTGTGTGGGTCCTCATGCCCCAGAATAGTGACGGGGACACTAGACTGTAAACAGGCCCCGTCCTTCGGATGAGACGTAAAACCGAGGTCCTGACTCTCTGTGGTCATTAAAAATCCCAGGGCGTTTCTCGTAAAGAGTAGGGGTGTTACCCCACTGTCCTGGCCATATTTCCCATTGGCCCTTACCAATCATGGCCTCCACATAATCCCCATCTATGAATTGGCTTCATCACTCTGCTCTCCTCCCCACTGATAGCTGATGTGTGGGGAGCGTTCTGGCGCACTATGGCTGCCGTCGCATCATCCAGGTGGATGCTGCACATTGGTGGTGGGGGAGGGGATCCCCATTACCTGTAAAGCGCTTTGAGTGGAGTGTCCAGAAAAGTGCTATATAAGTGTAAGCAATTATTATTATTATTATTATTATTATTTATGGTCTTCCGCATGTGATACCATTATTGGAAGTGAAAGTCAATGTTGGTGTTTGGTGGATTCACTGCTCCGTTCACTTTGCTGTAGTTTCCACTGTCACCTGCACAGTTCTTACAATTTTGGTCCATGAGGACAAATGGTTCCATTCCACATTGGTTGAAAAAGTGGTTTTGCTCAAAAAAGGGAAAGTGTTTTTAATTAATATGATCGTGTCTACAATCTATGATGGGGAACAGTAAATCTGAGAAGCCGTTAATGGGGGTTCAGTGCTTCAAATCCTTCCACTTCTGTTGGAAAATGAAAGCAAACTATTAATGGTTTTCTCGTGCTCCTCTTTTCACATTTGTATCTGAGTTGTTGTCTGTGACACTGGTTCAGGAATAGACCAAACAATCCTAGAAGCACTTGTTTATTTTAGAACTGCCCTTCTCAGATCAGACTGAAAGCAAGCCCTCTCTGTGGTTGGTGTTTGAAAGGGGAGAAAGTCACATTTTGTGGAACATTGCCAAATGTGCACAACATTGAAATAATTATTAACACAAACAGGACATAGGTTACAACTTATTCCAGCAGTGTACGTTTGCTAATTGTTCGCTCAGTGAGTGTTGAGTGATTTAAATGCTGTTATAATCAACGTGTCAGACTGATTGCAGATAAGAAGAAGCTTGAAGGAGGCCAGGCCATTCCTTTTACTAGACTGCTGCTGATTAAAGAGGAGAGAGAAATGAGAAAATCCCATTATGGGGGCTCCTTAATGTGTTACTTTTTGCTTGATTGTGCTTGAAGAAATGCTCAAATACAAGAACTGTATATGCTGACTAATGACACCATTTCTTTCTGTGCATTTTTGAACTTGTATCGAATTCATCCATTCCAGTTGTGCTGGTCTAAGGTGTTTAATTCAGATAAAATAGCAGTAAGAGCACTGCATTTTGAACTGTCAGTTTCTTATGGATGTTCGTCATGTGTGAAATGAGATGCCTTTGGACTGTGGGAGGAGACTGGAGCACCCCCAAGAACCCCACACAAATGCTGGGAGAACATGCAAACTCCTCACAGATAGCACCCCATGTCTGGAATAGAACCCCAGACCTGCGAGGCAGCAATGCTGACTGTGCCACCGTTGCTAGAGTCTGACTTGAAAAAGATATCCAACTGGTAAAAAGCATGCTTTTCTCAAGTTCCACCATGAGACAACTTACAGTAGCTCCCTGAAGTCAGCAAAAGTGATCATGCCCTCTCTTTTCCATAGGTTCAACACCTTTCAGGACAGTTATATATACATATTTCATCAGTATAATTTTAGAACAAGATACCATTATACATGCCCCATTCTGCCATGTACAGTACATTTCATGAACCTCAAGTTTAAAAAATAAATCAAAGCAGAGGGAAAGAAATAAAAACGATTACAGAACATTCAGACACAATACTCATTACACAACAACAAAAACCAGCACCCCAAACATGAATGTGTATTTTTAGTATGTTTTGTTGGAAAGTTTAGGCTTTCTTGGGACAAATGTGGTTTTCAGCCTTCAGCCTGAAATTAGTTCCCCGATAAAAAGGGTCCTAGAAGTGTGATTCATTCCATGTCCCAAGAATTCCAAGCCGTTTTAAACTTAGTAGAAATAATTCATTCACATGATTTTTGGTTTTCTAGCTAGTTTTCAATGTAAAAAAAAAACAGAGAAGACTGCATATTCCCAGAAAGGAAGAGGAAGATCCTCATAACAAACAACGAGAGAATAGAAGTTCACCCACAGTGTTTGTGGGAGTTTCCTCTGGGTGCTCCAGTCTCCTCCCACAGTCCAAAGGCATACTGCACTGCTGGTTAGCACTGCTGCAGGCTCTGGGTTCAATTCCTGGGTGCTGTCTGTGTGGAGTTTGCATGTTGTTTGCGGCTATTTCCTCTGGTTGCTCTGGTTTCCTCCCAAAGTCCAAAGACATGCTGGTTGGTTAATTGGCTTCTAGGATAACTGGCCCTGGTGTGAGTGTGTGTGTGTGCTCTGTGATGGACTGATGTTTCGTCCAGGGTGTACCCTGGACTCTGGAAAATAGTACATGCAGAACAGAAATAAAGTTACTTTGACTTGTTGCATATTCTAGCAGAGATGAAAAATGTTTGAGCTTTCAAATAGATGTAGAAAGCAACATGAAACTGATCAATGTTTGAGCTGATTCACTTCGTGTAGCGTGAAATTTCCTTTTGTCCAAATAATCACCAGGAAAATAAGTATTCCCAAATTATTTGTCTGTATTAATAGACAAACGTTTTTCCCATGGTTAAAACAAGCATCTTTCTTAACAGTCAATCACTTTTTACTATTGTGTGTGCTTATAGTCTGAACACTGTTTTCTTGTCATCGTTTTTCTCCTCAGCTTTGTTATTCCTGGTATAGCAGTAAGTTGTTGTTTGATTGTTTCTTTTAAAATCCTTTAGTTTTGTTTATTTATTTTATCACACATAATCTGTGTGACTTGAGACTTTTAGACGTTCTTGGTTTAGTAAATAAAGATGCTGTTTATATTGGGAATTTAAATAGCACCATCTGCTGGATAGAGATGTAATTGCAGCCATTTACATCGCAAAAGACAGCTTTTATTTCCTTATACTAATATATAAAACACCAACATACCAAACAATATTAAAAATCAAAGCTACAATTTTGGATGTCTTGGTTACCTCATTTTACTGAGAAGACCCTTTTACAAGTTACACATTTTAGAAATCCTAATCTACTGTCGACTGTAAAATTTTGTGAAATGTGAACATTTTGAAAATAAAGAATGAGAAAAATACAGCCATGACAAGTGTGCTACTTGTTGGATGGTTAAATCACTGAGTAGGACCTAAAAATCTAAAAACAGTTTATTATAAATATATATATGTATTTTCTGCTTCTGAAGGTGGTAAAGCCACATCATTTTTTTTCTGAAAAAGCAACTATTTATTATGAGCACAAGACATACAGTAAGTATTTTATCATAAGTCATATGATATCGTAATATTGTATTATTAGTATTGTCACATGCATAGTCATAGGATTAGTATTGTCAGATGTTGTGAGTAATTTTTTAATCATATGTTTAATCACCTGTATTTCAAATGCTTAATATTTTATGTTGATTTAAAGAAAATAATGCATAAATAAATGCTGTAAGGTTTAATATAGATAAACTGAGAAAGGCTTTAGGTTAGAAAGACCAGACTGACAATGGACAAACACATTCCTGTTTGCATTGTGCTCTAAAATCCAGGCCTCATTTTGTAGGCTGACAAACTGTATCTGAAATTAAGGTGATGGCACAGTGGTTAGCACTGCTGCAGGCTCTGGGTTCAATTCCTGGGTGCTGTCTGTGTGGAGTTTGCATGTTTTTTGCATCGGTTTAAAATAGTTTACAAGAAGATACTGGATTAGCAATTGGTACTGATTTACTGTAGTGAATATTCTAAAGGCATATTTCACCCAGGTTTTTACAATGGAAGAAATCAGTATCTGCCTCTAGTTGTGAGTGTGTGTGTCTGTGTTTGTATCTGTCTGCCCTGTGATGGACTGGCGTCCTGCCCAGGGTGTACCCTGCCTTGTGCCTGTTGCTTGCTGGGATAGGCTCCAGCTCCCCCGTGACCCTGAATTCGAAGAAGCCGTTAGAAAATGGATAGATGGATGTTGGGTGATCTGTCCTCTTGATCCCTGTGTTTCTTTCATTCTTGACCCTTTTCTCGAACCGGCAGCCCTTCGTGATTCACGACATGGACACCCTCCGGCTGGCGGAGAAGACTCTGGTGGCCAAGATGGTGGGCAACAACGGCATCCAGAACAAGGAGGTGGAGGTGCGCATCTTCCACTGCTGCCAGTGCACCTCTGTGGAGACCGTGACGGAGCTCACCGAGTTCGCCAAGTCCGTGCCCGGGTTCGTGGGCCTGGACCTCAACGACCAGGTCACCCTGCTCAAGTACGGGGTCTACGAGGCCATGTTCGCCATGCTGGCCTCCAGCATGAACAAGGACGGCCTGCTGGTTGCCTACGGCAATGGCTTCATCACGCGCGAGTTCCTGAAGAGCCTGCGCAAGCCCTTCAGCGACATGATGGAGCCCAAGTTCGAGTTTGCCATGAAGTTCAACGCACTGGAGCTGGATGACAGCGACCTGGCGCTCTTTGTTGCTGCTATTATCTGCTGTGGAGGTAAAAGGCCTACTGTAATCGTCTTAAGAAACAAAAAATAACTTTTATCTTTGCTTATGACATTCACTTTTATTTTCTAGGCTCACGGGCAACAAGGTGCCTAAGTGGTTAGCTTTGGGGTAGCTCAGTGGTAGCAGTCCTTGGGACCTGGGGTACCATCTGTGTGGAGTTTGTATGCTCTTTCTGTGTTTGTGTAGGTTTTGTCTGGAAAAAGTTTCCTATCACAGTCCAAAGCCATACTGGTTGGTTAATTGGCTTCAGGGGAAATCAGTCCTGGTGTGAATGTGTGTTTGTGTCTGTGTGTGTGCCCTGTGATGGACTGGCGTACTGTCCAGCGTGTACCCTGCCTTGTGCACATTGCTTGCTGGGATAGGCTCTGGCTCTCCCGCAGCCCTTTACTGAAAAAAGCTGTTTGAAAATGGATGGATGGATTCTAGTTAAAGCTTTTTAAAGCTACTGTATGAACACACATGGGGAAGAATGCTATGCAGATTAATTTATTCCAGATTTACCTCTGTTGTAGCAATCTAGCAAAGCTTTTTTCCACATCAACCTAAGGTATGAAAGAAAGTTAGATTTTGGTTGTCCTGACAAGTGAAATTGTCATCCAACATCTTTATGTTCACAGAGGTGTTTCTAGAACTGTAACTCTTCTTGTACAATGTAGAAGAAATACCATTCAGAATCTCTTTGAATAAAGAAATCATAACGGACTCAACATCTAGCTGCTATGAGCTCAGAATAGATGTCGCTATAATAAAATTTACTGAATAAATTTAATAGCAATTACATTTGAATTGCACTCAATTTTCATACAATTACTTTGACTACAAGGCCTTACTTTGATACTTATTGTTCAGATAATCTATATCAGTGAAATTATCTGTGGAAAGCCAAAGTTTAAGTAGCAAAAAGTAATTTTTTTCTGTCTGTACCTCTTCTGCTGACATTCCTGTTAAAGAATTTAAAGAATTGCTTGCAAACTCTCAACATGGTAAGATACAGCTTTTCTAACCATATCCTTAGTGTCTGCATGCTCCTTGCTTTACAGACCTTGTCTTTTTTAGGATATTTATCATTTTGCAGTCCTTGAGCTCATATTCTGAAATTGAAATTTTAATGTGTACACAATGCATTGAAAAGCTGTATTATACAGTAGTATTACCGTTAAATAGACTTACTATTGAGACTGTTTAATAAATAGCAACACGGAGTTATTTAGAGAACATGAACCTTTCTTCATGTATAAGTGATAAGTGTTTCTGATAACCCAGTGTTTTGTACTGTATTAGGTGAAGAACTGCAAAAAACAGTCACTTTTCTGAAATGAAAACTTTTCTATTAACCTCCAGAGTTAATATGTTCATCTCATTGCAAAAAACAACATAAATATTCGTCCCTTTGCAGTCGCCAGTAATCTAAATTGGCTCCCACTCTTTGGCAACTTAGAGCTCCTCATCCACAGTTAGATTGTTATGTGGGGCCAAAACTGCAGCATCC